ATGTGTGTGTGTGTGTGTGTGTGTGTGTGTGTGTGTGTGTACATTTGAGTACAGGTGCTGCAGAGACCAGAAATGTCAGATTCCCCCTGGAGTTGGAGTTACAGATGGTGGTGAGCTGCCTGGTGAAGGTACTAAGATTTGAATTCAGGTCCTGTAGAAAACAGTATGTCTATATTGAGCCTTCTCTCCAGCCAATGCTTTATATCTCTCATGCAAACTCAGGCAGGCACTACATGGTTTATATGTGCAATCAGAACAACAACAATACCAGGTATTTTCAATTGCCTTAAGTTAGAAAGAGAGAACCTCAGCTGAAAAAAATCCTAAGCCAGTAGGAGCATTTTCATGATTAATAATTGATGTAGGAGAGCCCAGCTCTTTGCAGACCATGACATTCCTGGGCAGATGGTCCTGGTGTATATAAGAAAGTAAACAGAGCAAGCCAAGGGGCACAGAGCATAAATGACATTTCTTTATGGTCTCAGCTTCACTGCATTTTTCTAGGTTATGCCTTGAGTTCCTTCCCTGAATTCCCTCTGGAACAGAGAGTAATCCTTGAGATGTAAGCAGACACAAACCTTTCCTCTCTAAATTGTTTTTAGTATGGTATTTTATTACAGAAATAGAAACCCTAACTAAGACACTAGGACCCCAGAGTCATTTATCCACCACATAGAGAAAATGCACTTTACTATACCAGGGATTGAAAATACAAACCAAAATCCCCTTTGCAAAGCAGACTGGTCACAGAACTTAATAAGAGGGCATAGAGAAAAGACAGGAAAATAACAAAGATTAATGTCAGGTAGTAAGTAGAGAAGGACCATTTTTTTCCCATTTTTCTCATTGATTTATATTCTGTCTCAAGAATGGAGAATATGATATAAGAGTAAATACCATACACATATGCTGAACACATTGTTAATGTAAAATACACACTGACAATCTCCTGGTGATTGAAGAACCAATTGTAATCCATTATTCAACATTAGAAGGTGTGGTTGCTACATTGCTTTTAAAATTTTGGGAAGCAAATGTTTGAAAAAAATCTTTATTTTGAACCATAATATATCAGCAGAAGACAAATGTCATTTTTATGGATCCATTTATGAAAACCACAGGATTTACAAAATTACACAAACAGGTTTGGGAGACTGGATGGTTTAGGACTTGTGGAAATATCTGATTCTACTGATTTCGATAAGCAACCTGCATGTGAATGACCTCTTTCAGGTGAAATGAATCCTGCCCAGAGCTAAGTATTTATCTAACAATTTCATCTGTAAAATATCTTCCCTATTAAAACCTGAGGCTGTTCAGTCTCCCAGCCTGAGCCTGTTCTCCTGCAATTATCTAAAGAGCCTCAGGCTACCATCCCAAAGGGGAGATTGCAGCCTCTGCCAGCCTAGACCAGGACTGTGGGGACAGCATTATCAACTGGAATCCACACTTTTGGGGGATAAGTTCTAAGGCTTTTCCAAGATTCTGGCCTCCATCTGAGATTTCCCCTCCTTTATACCTAGATAC